GAATGAAAAATGTAACAAGAGGAAGGGATGAAAGTAGCGAGTTGGGAGTAAGTGAGAGAAACGGAGCAAGGGAGAGAGGGAGGGAAGGAGAGAGAAAAGGAGAGGAGGAGTCTGTTTCATGTGATGAGTTGTCATTATGATTTTAGAAAGGGAAAATTAACAAAATGAATGTAATATAATATTGTTGGTCCAAGCATCTGCAGCCTATTACAAATCTCTACCACAAGGAGCTCTGATAGCGTAGCGTAGTGGTTACGAATCGGGCAGCGAACCTCAAGGTCAGCAGTTCAAAACTACTAGCGGTTCCGCAGGAGAAAGATGAGGCTTTCTGCTCCCGTAAAGATTTACAGCCTCGGAAACCCTGTACAGGGTCGCTATGAGACAGAACTGACTCCACGGTACTTAACAACAACAACAACCACAGGAATATATAGATATAGATTTTTGTTTTTTCTTTCCTACATATGTTCTCACTCCGGCTCTTACTCTTTCTGTCCCACTAGTCCAGGTCACCACAGAAGGAACTAAATGATCACCCAGCAAAGGATATGGCAAAATGTGTGCAAAGTTGGTCTTGGAAAACCAATAAAATAAGACATAAAATAAAAATAAAAATAAAAATAAAATCCCAAATAGGTCTTTTTATTTAACATAAGGCCAAAGAAGCTATCAGGCGCTGCTGAATACTGTCCACTAACTGTACAAAATATCAACTGCATGCCTCGAAACACCAAAATATCCGCTGGAATGCCATAGAAATAAATAACTTTTGCTATAAACACATGAAAACATATCAAACTGTTATCTCTTTAAACATATTGTAAATAAAAAAATTACCAGTACTTCTACACAATAAATATTAAGAAACCATTGACATAGTTGAAATGCACTCATATAAATTAACAACTTTAATTACATTAGCCAAACAGACATTGGTTAAAGAACTGCATGTAGTATGCCAAAAAAAAAAAAATAATAATAATAAAATAAAATAAAAATAAAAAACAAACAAACAACATCAACCACAGAACATAAAAAGTTTTCAAACAAAACAAGCTTCAGATTATCTTGGCTTTCATAATTATATTTTTCTTTTAAAGAAAAATATCAACCCATTGTCAATGCACTGTTTTTCAAAGCATTTAAATAGAGGGTAAAACCCATTGGGAATTAATACAGAAGAAATGATTCACTTTATGCATAAAAAATAAATAATAATATAGCTGAGACATGTGGTTTGCTTCTGCTCTTGAAGATGTGAACAGCTTCTAAGCATTCATATTCTCTGACCCCTACAACAGCTTCTCAGTAATACAGAGTTTAATTTAACACATACAATGTCCACCCCCAAACTTTCTGCCCACATCTATAAGTTTCATTTATTGTGCAGGTTTTCAGGGTGACTAAGTTTTTCTCTGTGTTGAAAAGGGAAATTGCCAAAAGACTCACAGGAAATTTTTTTTTTTTTTTCCAAGTGGGCATAATTGGAATTTAAGTTGAATATCTCTGAGACATTTTTGTGTTCTGTGTTTTAGAGTCACCTCTTGAAGCTCAATCCAACAGGTGTAGAAAAAAACAAAAACTACTTTACCGGAGGTTGCAGGTACTCCCTTTGAAATTCAAGTGTGGAATCAATCTTAAACAAATATAAAATGGGCTGTTTCTCAGGGACAGTAAAATTCTAACTCAAGACTCCTAGAAGTCTTCTTACTTTGGGGGGGGGAACCCCAAAACTATAGACAATGTCAATCCAATCTACAAAATATGTATTATTCTCAATAGATATCTGGGGTGGCTAAAAGCTCTTTGCAGTGTCTGAGCTTGGTATGGGTAGATTTTAAAGAACTCTCCCTGGAGAAAGACTGCAGATATATTAAAGGTCAGATAGAACCACCCTTGTTACAAGAAAAACAGCCTATGGAAAACTCAATACAGTAGAATTTTAACGCTTTGTTTTTCTCTTGGCACCATGCTGCTATGTGAAAAGTATTCACAAGGCTGCATTCCTCCCACATTATTAAAGATGGCTGTAATTTATAACTCTATTTCAAGGCCATATCAATCTAATGAAGCTAGGCTAAAGTTTGTGGGTGGGTGACACCTAATCATTTAACAACCAGTTACAATAGTGTCGTACAGATCTTCATTTTGCTCTTCTTCTAATTACTTTGGCCACTAATCGAACCCGCTTTACCCCTAATGCATTTAGGATTTAGGGCTTAAAATAATGACATCCATTTTTGAGATGAATAGAAACGACACTCTGGTATCTGCTCTTTTTAACCTCCTGCTTTTCCATTGCCTTAACCCACTTGACTACATCCCAGTGAACTGAGACTTTCTTCCTGTTCTTTTCACAACTTTCAGTAGCAGTTCTGGTACAAAGAAGAGGCAGTTCAAAAGGTCCTCAAAGTTTCCCATGAATATGTGGAGAGTTGAACATAGTCATTCACCCCTCTCCTTAAAACGTTCCTCATTACACCTACCCTCCTCACATGCGGGATTTCCTAGCCAATGGTTAAGAGTGAGGGGGAGAAATATCAACTTTGTATGTTCTCCCTCTCATGTCTTGATAAGAATCCACACATATATTTGTCCTGTAATGAGATTAAATTAATTTGCCTACATACAAATTAGTGCCATAGTTTATGAAGTTAGCATATTTTTAAGAAACTTAACTCATCTTTTTTGTAGTGTTTCTCATTGAGAACTTATCTTCCAGCTATTTATTTTTTGAGACTCTAAAATTTGATGTAGGGCTGAAAGCCTCAATATTTTACAGAGAACTGATGACTGTAAATTCCCCACCACCAATTATTAGTAAATTTGTCCCAGTTGTCTAAAGATTTCTGCTAACTTCAAACAAGTCAGAAAAAAATAGGCTCTATGGTTTTTAAAAGTACATAAATGAACAACATATTAGCTGTTATTTAATTATTGGGGAATACATTATCTAGATACAGCCCTCAGCAAGAACTTTGATATTCATAAAACAATGTAGTTGTCATTGGTTTTGGTTTGGTTTTGATCAAAATCAATGGATGCAAACTACTTCTGCATCAAGGATTTGGGCTGTAAATTACAATATTAGGAATTTATAGCTACCTCTATGCCTGTCTTCTCCTAACTGTTCTTTTCCTCCCTCACACGCTCATAACACCTTACCCCCAAATTTTTTAACTTTCAGCCATTGACAACAACATTTAGTCTAATTAATACAGGCAATATTTTTCACATTACACTTCAATCATATTAAAAAAAAAATGTACTGAACTTTTTAATACCAGCCCAAATAGTTCTTTCCCCAAAATAAGAACTCTGATTTAAGATTGATTCCAATAGATATTATCTATAAATTGGAAAAAAAAAATCAGCCCAAAGTTTTGGTTAACATGGGTTTCTTGTTTTTGTCTGCAGGTGATTAACTTGTAGGAGGAAGGTTCTGGGGAAGAAACTGGAGGATGGTTAATCCCTGTACATTTAAAAGGGCCTTTCTTGGATACTGTCTGCAATTTCCAGGCTTATTTTTCCCATCCAATTTTTTTGAAATGTGCCCACCTATTTCAGAGTAAAAGCAAAATCTATATAGCCTATCCTTCTTAAAAATACTGTGTTTTGCACACAAACATTCATTGCTTTAAGAACATTAAAAAATGACAGCCTGAAGTGCTTAAAATGTCTATGAACATGGTACATGTATACACACACACAGGTATGCATATGCACAAGCAATGTATATATACACATATGAGCATGGAGCGTCTCATGACTCTGACGGAACTTGATTTCCAACAGTGTACAACTACTGTACATCCAGTATGAAATGTCCTGTTTCATGGATGTAAAAGGAGTCAAACCCACACTTCTCAGGTCTCTTAAACCTGAACACAATCCCCTATTACTCAATCTTGAATCCAAACCCCTGACTCATTCATGGTGAACGATCCCAACCACAGACAGACTGTTTAAAGGCTCACACAAATGTCTTTGGTGTATGTGTCTATTTTTTAAGGTACAAAATAATAATTATAATTATAATAATAAAAATAGCTATTTTGTGTGCTGTAGCAGTTCTTTTATAGCTCACATTAAGTGCAGCTCTTAACCTCCCCCCACCCACCCCCAGAAAATACTTGTTAAATAAGGATTAGACAGGTCAAACACCATTGTAGTGCAAATAGTAAACGATAAAAAAAAAAAAAAAAAACATTTACAAAATATAGAAATGTTTGGATCCAACAGATGGACAAACATATTCCTTTCAAGTATCTCTCCTTGAAGAAAATAAAAATTAATCAGGTTACTTCCAATACAAAAAAGTCTCTCTTTTTGTTCTCTCTCAGGTAAACAGTTTCAAACCTATTAGGTTGCATAGTTCTAAGATCATAAGCACCTTAACGAAATGTAACTTGGTATTCTTTTTTTCCTTGATCCTTTTACTGTTTCCATTCTTCCTCTCAATTTTTTTTTTAAATGTTGGTTTTTCATTTCATTCTGTTTTGTCGCTAAAGTGGTGTGGAAAAAGAAAGTGTGACCACCTGCATAGTACTGTGATTTTTACCAGGATTCATTATGTATGTGCTGTGTGGCAATGCCTGTGTGTGTTGTGTGTGTGTCTGTATGCTGATATAAACAGAAATCGTGTCACACAGACATACCTTATGACCTAGGAAAATGGGGTGGGAAGTGCCTATGGATGACCCTTTCTAGCTAATGGCTTTCTCGGTGCTATTTGGGACATGGCAGTCCACGTTATTGCAGACTAGACAAGTTAACTTCCAGAAAAGGAACCACGAAGGGAGAGAGCCATCTTCAGTGTCAACAAGTGACATCATCAGTTTGATGTTGGAAGAAATGGCAACTACACCATTCCCCCTCTGTCTCCCCTTCCCCAGTTCCTTCCCTGCTTCATCTCTTGAACCCTGGCCAAGGTCTTTTCCACATTTTCCTTCATCTGTTTCAGTTTTTGTTCCTAGTTTAGATTTTCTCTTATTATTATTATTTCTATTTTTCTGATCATGTAACTCAGAAACCTTAAAAATTTTTTTCTTCGTTTTTGCCACTGTCTTCTCTGGGCAACTCTTGTTCCCTTTCCCCCCCCACCCCCCACCCCCGGACCAGGCAACTCTATGAGCACCCACACTCCTCCACTATCATGTTCTGAATGTCCTTTTTGATGATGTTTTGACCATCATCATAGTACAACATGGACATGGGTCGCAGCTTGGTGGGCACACAACATGACTTGAGGTTGGCAAAGGGGCTGTGGCCCCGCATCCGGTAGTGGTTGATGACTGTGGAGTGGAAGGAGAGTGAGGAGCCTGAGGTGCCCGCTATGTGGCTGGGGCACTCACCCTCGCAGTAGTTAGCATGGTATCCAGAGGGGGCGATGATCCAGTCATTCCAGCCAATGTCCTTGAAACTGACAAAGAACTGTTTCTTACAGCAGATGTTCACCTTGCCATCACACTCCAAGCCCCTCCGACGGCGGCGATGGGGGTGGTCTTCAGATTGCCGGGCCTGCAGCATGAGGAAAGGTCTGTGGGACTGCTCCTTCTCCTCCTCACCCCCTGCCACTCCTTCACCACCGTCCTTCTTCTTCCCCTCCCCCTCCTCTTCTTTCTTCTTCTTCTTGCCTAGGAGCACCAGACTGGCGCCAGTCTCCTGGCACTGCTCACAGGCGAACCGAATGTCCAGGGAGCTCTTGCCTTGATCCAGCAATCTCTGGATGCTGCTAGAGACAGGAAAGATGTGCCAGGTACTCTTCCGAGCATCCACCACCTTCTCTGATATCAGTAGTTCACTCCTCACACCCTTCAAGCCAGCTTCCTCTGCCTCCTCCCCTGCGTCCAAGCTGCCCTGTGGGTGCTTTTGTTGCTGGAAGAGGCGAATGGTGACTTTGGTCCTGGTCCTGTTGGCCTTGGGGACTTTTAGAAAGAGCCAGACTTCTGCACGTTCCACAACGGACAGGTCACTGCCTTCCTTGGAAATCTCGAAGTGCAGCGTTTTCCTGGCTGTGCCTGGAGATGAAACACAGCATAAAAGAGGACAGGGACACACATTAGATCCTAAATTGGCATTTATTCTCTAATTTCCAACATGTAGGAATCTTCTATTACACACTATCCAGCAAACCATGGCCAGTGGGTAAAATCTAGCCCATCACCCATTCTGTACAGCCTGCAGGCTAACAACTGCTCTTACCATTTTTAAATGAATGAAAAGAGAAAAACACTATTTTGTGAAGTATAGAATTCATGTGAAATTCAAGTTTCGTGTCCATAAATAATGTTATATTGGGACACACTGATGCACATTTATTTATGTGTTCTCAATGGCTGCTTTTGTGCTACAACACAGGGTTGACTAGTTAGCCTGCAAAGCCCACACTATTTTCCATGTGGCCTTTTGCAGGAAAGGTTGTTAATCCTTGTTCTAGAAGGGCAAGGGCCTCAGCTTGCATGCCTACTGCACTCCCCACTAGATGTGAATCTGAAGACTAATGCCTTTATTTATTTCACCTTCTATAAAATGGGAATAGTATAAGTGACATTTGACCTGTATTCTCACAGGTTTGCAAGAATCAGATGGGAAAACACACCATAAGCTATTGAAAGCTGTGGAAATAGTATTGTTCTCATGAACATACACAAACATACTCCCAACTGTGTGTGTCATGTGGTTGTTAAAAGCACTAGGTTAGCCTCTTCTTCTCTAGCTACAACCCTGATTTGCACAAACATCCATCATTCCTTTTCTGGATTCCAAAATTCACTGTTGTCAATTTCATTCTGACTCATAGAGAACTTAATAGATATGGTAGAACTGCCCTATAGGGCTTCTTCCCAGGCTGTAATCTTTACAGAAGCAGACAACTACATCTTTCTCCCTCAACGTAGCTGATGGGTTTGAACTGCCAACATTTCTGTTAGCAGCTGAGTGTTGACCCACTGCCTCAACAAGGTCCCTGTTTGTCCCTGGGTTATTTCTCTTTCATTTACTTCTCTGGTATTTAGTCAGATCTCTCCCCAAACATTTATCCAGTAAGTAGCTAGAGGAACATTTCCCAAAGGTGAATAGCATCATGTGACTCCTCTTCGAGGTTGTTTTGTGACTTCTTCTTGCCCTCAGGATGGAAGGGAAAATACCCAGAATGACAGGTTTCTGTATAACTGTCTACTTCCCACTTCTCTGGGATCCAACGACAGGGTGACTCTTTGAAGACTTTGAGCATCCTATGCTGTCTTGCCACTCCATAGTCACATGTGTTGCTCCTTATGTCTAGGATATTCCTGCTCCCTGTCTTTATCACCACAAAACACATTAGTAGTGCAAACTTTCATAGTGTTTCAAATTAAATGACACTTCCTCTAGGAAACCCACCCCCACCCTCCAGCCACTTGAGCTTAGGTCAGTCCAAGGCCTGAGCTCCTCTCTCTCCTTCACTGTTACTTGATAAATTCTAATTACCGAAGGCAGAGCTTCCTATTGAGTTTTATTGCCTTAGGAGAGTCAGCCCTGCTTCCCAGGTCTCCATGTTTGCCTCTTTCCCTTCTATTGCAGCTTGAATGCACACAATAGCATGTTTCAAACAGCAGTTATCACTAATTCTATGTCCCTAGGTGTTGCAAATGATTAACATGCTTGATGACTAACCCAAAAGTTGGACGTTCCAGTCCACCTCAGAAGAATGGCATGGCAATCTACTTCCAAAAATCCAACCACTGAAATCCCTATGGACAAAAATCCTACTCTGACACAGATGGGGTCACCATGAGGCAAAGTCAGCCCGATGGCAATTGGTTGTTTACTAATGTTATAGGGGCAACTCCCCACATTATCAAGCACTTGGATTCAAAGATCATTCAGTACTTGCCTAACTCTCAAATTAGGAAGGATGTCATCTGTTTCTCATTCTTTCCATAAGCACCTGTATGTTTATTCATGCAACGGTGTTAACAGTCGGGAGCAGGTGTCCAGACTATGCTTGTCTACTTCATCAAATATTCCCCTCCCCCCTTACTTATATTTTGACGTTCTATTTACCTCCTGTTAGTACCTGCTTGTTTGTCTGGCTGTTCATACCTTTACATACATCCCATGTACAAATCTGATGAAAATATTTCAAAGTTCATCTTATAATTCGCAACTCCCCAGGCGGATCTCCCTGCCTGGATTTCTATAGCTAGCGGAAATCCAGCCATACTTATCACTCTCGGGCTCGAGATGTTTACGGTACTATAAATTTTAGGCACAGTTTCAAGTTCTTTGCAGCAGAAGGCAGGCTTTTCTGTGCACTGCTCACTGTCGGTTCTGTTCTTAATTTAACACACTCCACACACTGTGATTATGATAGTGGTAAATTCACTGAGGGAAGGCCAAGGCGGGCTGCACATTTATAAGAAAGGCTCTGTGGAGTCTTTGTATAGATTTGCAAGGCTGTTGGCATGGATGATGAAGATGATGGTGAGAAGAGTTCCTATGACTCCCACCTCATGTCCCTGCCTGGCAGGATTTGAAATGAATAATAAAGCTGGGTTTGTGATTAGATCACCAGAGCATTAGGGAGATAGTGGGGGACATTGCCTTTTTTATGAAAACATGATGATTCTTACAAAAAAAAAAAAAATGCGTGTCCAGTATTCCTCTTTGCTAAGAAAGTATGGGTGGTTTTGTTGTTGTTTGCTTATTAAGAAAGCAAGAAAGAATAATCCAGGAAGGAGAGTTTAATCATTTAAATCTAAAAAGACAATCAGCTGTAGACTTTAAGGAGTTAGGTTCTCTGGAGAACAGAGGAGAAGGATTAACTGAAAGCTCCAAGATGGAATGGTGGGAGAGAGGGCAGGTGCCCTCCCAGTCAGGGTGGGAACACCTCCCCACCCTACTTACAAGCTACCTACTGTGTCCCCTTCTGCCTCTCTGCAGGCCAGCTTCTGAAATACTAAACTACATAGGGTGTCACTTTAAAGAAAGACAGATAGTAGTTGCTAAATTAGAGGAGGCAAGGGCCACAAGGTGGTGTTTTGTCTTTTGAGGAAACAGTGAAATTGGAGCTTCAGATTTTCTCCAGAATGGGAACGCTCCCTACCTCTCAGATAACCCATGCTTGACAAGCAGGGTTGAGGAAAAAGGCACAAGGTCCTCAGATGGAGAAACATCTCCATGGCAGTTCTGACCAGCACACACTGGTCTTTCCATGAACACGGTCCCGAGTAAGTCTGCAGATGCTACAGAGAGGAGGGCTGGGCTACGGAGGGAGGGGGGTTTAATGGACCAAACTGAACAAGTGAAAGCCGCATCCAAATTGCTCTTGTGGGGCCAGCAAGGCAGCTTGAAGTCACACAGCCTTCAGGACAGCCCCTCATTCCATGAAAGCAGGTTTCTAACGCGTGATAAAGCCCCACCCCTTCTCTAGAAGCAGCTGTACTTGGAGGCAAATGATTTAGTGTTCCTGAGAGAGGATCATACAAAGAGAGTAGTCATTTGAGGGGGCTCAATCTGTCAGGTGCTGTTATATTAGGATCAGAGAGTCATCATAAAATGACTTTCATCTTGGACTTGGCTGATAATTAACTCCACGGCATCGCCTGCGTGTTGTGGGGAGGTACGCACACTGATCTATGCATCCATTTAATTATCCGAGCAGAAAGACTCTGTTCCCTGCATTTGCATCTAGCCTCTGCCTGCCTCATCTCTCCCCCATATTTCTGACATTTGGATTTTCCCCCTACTAACGGGCATGCTTGTTGCCTCCTTCTCCTGTGTCCATTTCTGGAACTGCTGTTTGTATATTGCATGATATTTTACCAAGCAAATAATAATAATAATAAACTGAGATTCCATTTCATGAAAATGCTGTGGCCATAATACTCAGGAGAACGGGGGGAAGAGAGAGAGACTCAAGTCTTCCTAATGTCTACCTCATATGCAGGTACATTTTACAAGTTTTCTTGTTTTCTTACTTGTTAAGCAGTGCATTTTATTTTTTCTTTTTCTTTTACATTAGCTTTCATTGCAGGAGGGGGCGGGGAGAATGGAAACTGTTGGAAGCTGAAATGGAATTATATTTTATCAGGTCAGTAGGCTTCAGAAATAGATTAAGAAAGCCTCAGATTCTTAAGGATGAAGACCGTAAGAATTAACTAGTCAATGTATAAGATTCCCTTTATCTATTCAAGAGAAACTGCAGTAGTGGTATGCAGCATCAGAATGCTCCATCCTCAAATCTTTACGCATAACAATTTGGAAAATGGGAAAGGTTGCCTGAGGCTGAGGCATTTCGAAACAATTTATAATCAGTTTTAGGTTTGACTTAAATATCTCTTGCTGTAAAATCCTGGAATGGAAGCTCTCCCACAATGCTTTGTGACCAGGTAATAGAATTAGTTGATTCAGGTGTGTACTAGGTTCCTACACTATGACCTATCTAGCCAGAAATAGCTGGTTGCTTTGCTCACCTTTCATTACCCACTCTCTCATAATATTCTTTTCATCCTCTGTGCTATTTTCTCCCTCCTGAGGGCTTGTGAGGCAAGACTTGTATCACAGCCTGCTCTGCCTGAGTAATTCACTAAGAAAATCCCACGCAAACCCATGTGGGTGATAATAATTCATCACTTAAACCTCTATGGACTGGTGGACCCATACCAAAGATAGGCAGGAGAAAGATGCAAAAAAAAAAAAAAAAAAAAAGCAGGAGGGAGAAATGTTGTATCTTACAGGACATTCCTTTGACATGTTGTTGGGTGGCAAGCACTGGACGGAGGGAAAACTGTAAATTGGAGGCAAAAAAAAAAAAAAAAAAAACCCTAAAAAGATATTTGCAGCAGATTTCCTTCTGCTTTCTGAATTTTTTACATATTTTCTAATAACTTAATCACAAAGGAATGCCAAGGGTTAAGCAGCAAAGCCCTGGTTGCTCCCTTCCCCCACACTAAGATGCAAAGCTCCTGATCCAAATGGCCACACATCTCAAAATTGTGGGTGCATAAACAATTCCAATTAAATAAGCAACCCACACATGCAATGTTTCCGAGTTTGTTTTTCCTACTAAAGTACGTTGCCTTCTATATGCGGGTAATAATTATGTCTCTAATGTTAATGTCGAAAGCCTACTTGCTTATATGGAGCATTTAACCTCACCATGGGGGGAAAAGCCTCATTGTAAAAAGCGACTGTTAGTTTAATTTTCCATTCTTCACCAAGGCTTCATTGTGCCTAGTTATGGAATTGTCAGAACCCCCATTTACAACATGTGTGTTCTTTGAAGCACTAGCTCTGCGTTTGGACTGTATTTTGAGCGAGGGGGTTCTTGAGAAAGCCGATTAAGTGAGGTCATAAAGATTATTTCACCACTAATCCCTAAAAGAGAGTCTTGCTTGTGGTTGAATCACAGGTTTGGTTCCAAATTCCCTTGGTTAATTTTTCTGTCTTAATGTCTTTCATTGGGGCCCACTATGGAACTGTGAATGTTCAGTCACATTCATCCTCAGTACCCCACTATTTAAATGGTGATTAAAATTAGAATGTTAGCCATTTAGGGGGGAAAGAGTGTTTGGGATTCAAAGAAGTAGAAAAAATACCTAAGGTTCAACCCACTGAATTTCAGAGACTTCTCCCATTCCTGAAAAAAAGTTCCTGAGAACTTTTACACTTTGGGTTTGGGATTTAGGAACCAGTCAAGTATGAAGAATTCTGAACTACAGCTCAAGTAGATTTTAGCAGAAGAGAGGCCAAGATAAATACATGTTTTCACAAAAAGTGCCTGGGAAGGTATTACTCTCAGTTCCCCATGAATTTCAACTCTGACGCCACCCCCCAGCCCACCCCAATGCACCTTCTTCCCAAATACAAACCACTATTAATCTCTTTCTTCATCTTGTCTCCACTATTTCCCTCCACACTCTCAGTGTGGAAATAAACGCATCCTCAGAAGCTGAACACTATGTTCCCGCAAGGCGTTAAATAAATAGCCTTTTTTTTTTTTTTTTCTACTTGTTTGAAGTCACTTGTCATTTGTTGCTGGTGAAAAACGTTGATAAGGCAAACAAACCAAGCATACACACACAAAATCATGGAGGACGGAAGACGCGTTTTTTTTGTAAAAGCCCAAGCAACCGTATTAGGGAGAGACGTGAGCAAATCAGTATTGCTGATGATTCATGGTCACATTTCTCCACTCTCTGCTTTGTTTGCTTTTAAAATTTATCACTCCTCTGCGATTCATAGAGCTCCGGAATGTTCACATGTATCACTAAGATTCCCATTTCCAATCCTTCTGTCTCGTTTTATATATTATAGGTAGTTATGTTTTCCCCATCCCATAAAATCCTAACTTCTTCTGGAGGATGAGAGGAAGCGGGAGGTAAATGATAATCACTAAGATTCTGGCACTACATACTAGGACTTCAAGTAGGTAAAAATTGCGTTTCCCTGGAAGATTAACTGGCAAGTAGCAAAAGTCTTTGGGCTGCGCCCTCTTGTGGCCAGTCATTTCCCGTTATTCAAAGAAGAAAGTGTGTAACGTAACCCCTAAAGGTATCCTTCAGTGAAGGGTAATTCACTGGGAAATTCAGAAGACTGGCCAGGAATGATAGGGGTCAACTCCACTTAGAGATGGCTTTCTTGAGGTGGGGGTGGGAAGAGTCATCCAAGTCAATCTTCTCAGATCTCTATTTAGGTTCTACAGATTTCTAACTCAAATCTTCGGTAAATTATAATCTCCAAAAGGGGAGATTTATGAACTGCTTTCATCAATGCCAAGGCTATGTGAGCATTTTTCAAATCTTGGCATCTCATTTGTCTTCCTTTCCCTACCCCTTCATTTATAAGTGTGATCAGTGCTAAATTAATTACCAACCTATAAATCTGAAAGCTTATATATAACATTGGAGACTCAACATTATATGGTTATTATACGTTAACAGGCCAGCTATTTCCATGAATAAAAATAAGGTAAAATAGGATACAGCAGCCAATAAGGCCACTGATCATTGGCAATTATAGTGGTAATTGGTTTAGGTTTACCCACCCCTTCTGTCTTTCTTTCAAAGAGAAGATGTCTCTTTAAGGTCTTAAGGTAAACACTGAGGAGTTGGTCAAAGCCAAGCAAAGATCACATTAACCTTGATGAACTATCCTGAGTGGCATACATAAAATGGAAAGCATTTGTTTATTGAAATAAATGTCAGAGAGCCTTAGAGGTTTTCCCACCACTTCTTCAACAACTTAGATTAACTTTACAAAGATGGGGCACTTTCTACTAGAGCACAGTGGGACAAACTCAGTTAAAAGAGTTCTAGATACTTCCACTTCAGTTGTCTCTCAACTCTGGTTACCATATCCTGGCTCTATTCAATAATCAAAGCGAGAAGAGGCCAAACCTTAATGTGTCTCCTATAAACGGAGGAATCTCATAGTTGATGGGTATGTAGGTTTTTATTGACTAGGTTCTATGCCATGAAAAATAGTTTATAAAGAAAAGAAAAATGCATGCCCTTTCCTATTCTCCAAAATTCTTGACATTCTACAGAGTTGAACTATTATGAAAATTGAATTATTCCAAAAGCCATAAAGACAAGACTTTATGATTCATTTTCATATGTTTACTACCATCTTTCAGATGATAAATTACTTTCTTGGGTAGCAAAAGGTGCATCAAGTTGTCTGCCATATATGAAATAATGAAATGTGTGACATTACATAAATCAATTTGAAGTTGAGAAGTGAAATATCTTAAATGAGAAAAATATGCAAATACATGAACCCTCTTCTGAGAATCCAGCAACTCACCCAAAGTCAGGTTGGAAACTCATCTTGGAGGTTGTTTTTTATTACAGACTTTAAACTTCAGTAAATGTAGAAATCAAAAGAATTGTCTTTTTAAAAACAAACAAACAAACAAACAAAAAAAAAAACCCAGCCTATTTCTTTCCATATTGAAATACCCTACAGAAAAGTAAAAAAGGACAAGACCTCCTATAACTGAGGGAAAAATTGGCACTGAGATGAAGGCCAAAATACAGAAGGAAGGGAAATGGTCAGATCATTTTGCTGCAAATGTCCCTGAATGCCAGAGGAGTGATTTGCCATGAACATCCAATAAGTCCGAAAGAGGGGCACATTGCTGGCATCAGATGTATATTTAGTTAAATAACTAACGGTTGGGTTTGCGGTCAGTCAGTGGTTGAAGGCATAGGAATATTTTGTTATAGGATGATGTTAAAGCCAATCAAATAGACACTTGTCATTGAGGCCATCATGAGTGGCACTCCATAAATAAAATCATATATAGGGTCCCTTTGTGTCCGTATATGAGAGTCCTTTAGCCCACTGGAATCCATTGTACCCAGGGCCCAATGCATACGTGTATTCTTTCTTACCTTTACAAACACGAAAAGTTGAGAAAAATTGGAGGGCTACTTGAAAACCCCAAACTGACTCTTGCCCTCAAAGATAAAGTCACAATTATCATGTCCTTTGAAGTTGCATTGAGAAAAAGCCTTAGAAAATATGGCCTGACCCTAAAAGACAGGAACTCGTGGAGAGACACTGCCCTGGAAGTTTGCAGGACACCCAGGACTTCTCCAGAGGGATGCCATGAAGCTAGCAGGCTATCTGCTCCCCAGAAGGAAGATTCAGGTCTTTCATGGTTTTCTTGAAAACAGAACATCTGACTCAACAGGTTTTCAGGGTTGGAAATTCTGAGTGTTGCCTTAATTGTTTATACTGCTGCGGCAAACTTTTAAACAAAAATGCTGGGAGTCCCTACACATACTTTACTGGCCATATGCTGTACCAAACAAAACAATGGCATTCCTTTCAAAGGGATTTGGCAAGGGGTGCAATTCTGGAGCCTGGCATTGCCACGGAAATAACATGGCATTAACACACGTGCGTGTGTGTGTGCGCGCGCGTGTGCACGGCCAGGCGTGCCTGGGCTTGCAAACATGCAAAGGGATCTGTACCACATAACTGTATGAGTAACTGGGCTTCATATTTTTGACAGGTATTTTCTATTCAGCAACAGGTTAGTGTATTCCTGGGCCAGCCATTGATTAGGATCTATTTATTAAAGTTCTTCCTCTTAAGGATTGAGGGAGAGTTCAGTGTAGTATCTGAGAGCACTTTGTCAAGGTTGCATTCCTTGGCAGAGAACTCTGAGTAACTTTACAAAGAACAAAACTCTTTTTTTTTTTTGGTTTAGTCAGTATTCCAAGAGGGACTGAGGATTCAATGTCAAGTGCCCCCCAAAACAGCACGTTCCTGCCTCAAATGTGGTGTCTGTGCCGTTGCAGACAGTTTCTAGGGGTGACTATAATAACCCTCCCGAATCAACACCGCCTGCTTCTCCCCGATTGGACTTTTCGAAGGGAAGGGTGGTTTTAGGACCAAGACTTGATCTGTGCCATTCCACTCCATCAACCTACTCGCTACCCATCCCCCAAGAAAAACTTTGAATGGGGCTCGCCAGCCTCCGCGGCTCCCTAGCACCTGAACCAGTCCCAGCTTTCCTCCAGCTCTGATCTGCTCTTTATAGGCTGGCCGAGGGAGACCCTCGCAGACCCCTTTCCAGCCCGTCTGGCCCCAGAGCTTCTTCCCGGGGTGACCGGCTGAGTTGTGCAAGTGTGAACCAGCCGCCTCCAGCCAGAGATCCAAACTGGAGAGACCCTGCCTGCCTGCCTGCCTGCCTGCCTGCCTGCCGGAGCCCTCGCCCTCCGGCCGCCCGGCCGGCCCCTGCTCCGCTGCTGGCACCGAATCCCGCAGTTTCCAGCTGGAGAGAGAAGTTCCTCTGGGACTCTCACAGACCCCCTTTGCCCCCCGCCGCCGCTGCCAGCACCCACCTGATTCAGCGAACGTGATGATCTCGGAGGTTTGCTCCAGGAGTTCATTCATTTCTGCCCTCCGCCCGATGTCGTCCTCGATCTCCACGTACCCGTTCTCCCCCACTTTGCCCACATGAAGCTTCCGGATGGCGTTCAGAAGCGCCGCCTTGGGCACTGGCTGGGTGACCTCGGGTCTCTTCTTCAAGTGCAGCATGTTTAAAATGTGCCTCTTGACGGCCTCTACCATCTCCGGCTGAGAGTTGGGTACATCCTTGGGGAGGGTGGCCAGGGCACAGGCCGGGCAGTCGGGGTCTGCACTGTGCCCCTCGGATCCCGGGGTAGGGGAACTCCTCACTATGATCCAGCAACTCGCCAACAAAAATCCTCTCAGCCAAAGCCAGGGCATCCTGGCAGCAAAAGTTGTTGTGATTGCCTTTTTCAAAGGCCCGCTTTTTCTCCCCCCTCACGCACAGGTTTGTGTGTGTGTGTGTGTGTGTGTGTGTG